TAACATACTTTCAAAACTTTTATTTTGGTACCTAAGATGTAAAATTTTAAACATTTAAGTACTCAGATAACCTTTTGAAACATTAACCAGTTACCATGCTGATGTGACGAGTGATATAGTATCCAACTCAATATTATTTGCTGAAGCATTAACTGGATACCACATCACTCGTCACATCCGCATGGTAATCGGTTAATGCTTCAACCAGTTACTCGGTTACTTAAATCCTTAAAACTTTACATCTTAGATACCAAAATGAAAGTATGTTACTAAAAATAAGAATTAAGTTAAAGTACGTTACTTTTCCATGCAATTTGCCCTTTAAAGTTTGCGCATTTTTCTACAAATTAAAACCATTCCTAACACCTACTTTTCTTCCCTTTCGAGAATATCCGTAAATTTCGCAACTCAGTCTCTGGTCAAAAGAATTCGTCTTTTTTATTAAGGCAAACAAATTTCATTAAAACACGAATAAAAAAACATAAAACACTTGTCAAATAATATTACACAATTTTTCATACATTTATAAATTAAAAGGATTTCTAACACCTAAATTTCCAACCAAAAGTCACATGTTTCCAACAACAAATCTAGTTGGTGGGGTAGTGGTATAATCATGGTACGGTGTTCAAAAACCCGATCAATTCGTTTAACTTAACTTAACCCAACGTTAAATAACTCAATCTGAAATAATTTGATGTATAATCGAATTGTAAAATTTGCAAAGCTTAGGTATTGGGTTACTATTATTTGAACTCAACCCAACCCGATGAACCCGATATTATTTTATTTATTGGATTTAATATGATTGTTGAGTTTGTATTAATATATACATTAGACAATTACACTATCGCATACGTTCTTCATATGTACATATTTCAATCTATTCTACATCTCTATGTAACTTATTTGTATATATGTTCAATAACTATGAACATATAAATATAAATTGAGAAAATTATACGTAAGAAGTATGGATAAGTTGTATTAAATGGTTGATGATGAAAAAAAAATTATGAGTAGGGAAAGAATACATTCAATGTTAGAAAAATATTTTAATATATCAAAATATCAACCCGATCACCCGTACGGTTTGGATTGGTTGGGTTAAGATTTTCCAAACTGCAAGCATTGGTTTGGGTTATTTAAATGTTTTTAACTCGATCAACCTAACTCATGAGCACTCTTAATCATGGCTCAGTTTTAAAAGATTTCCTATAATTTTAAAAAAGTATATGTTAAAAATTAAAAAAAAACACACATTTTATCTTTAACAAATTCAATATTTAAAGATTTTAATGCATATTATATTATTAAAATAATCTATAAGTTTATTGTTGCAGAACAGTTTTTTTTAAATAGTTAAATAAAATAATAATAATAATTTCATTTCATTTCATTGTTGGATACAAATAAAAAATTAATTCTTCTCTTTGTAATCAAGTTTTAGGAAATTATCTAAAACTTTTATTACGGCATGCAAAAGTAATGTATTTTAATTTGATTTTTATTTTGAGTAACGTATTTTTAAAACTTTTATTACGGTATCTAAGATGTAAAGTTTTAAACATTTAAGTACCGTAACCAGTTGAAGCATTAACCGGTTACCATGCTGATATAACGAGTAATGTGATATCCGGTTAATGCTTCAGCAAATAATACTGAGTTGGATACCACATCAACATGGTAACCAGTTAATGCTTTAACCGATAACCCAAATACTTAAATGTTTGAAACTTTATTTAAAAATAAAACAAATAATTATATTAATTATATTATTTTATATTGATTCAACCCTCCATACATAGGTTTACGGTTTTCTTGTAAAATTAGTTGTTTATCTCGTTTACACCGATTTCTTGTGTTTTGTATTTGAGTTTGCGGTTTTAATAGAAAATAAAAAACAATTTAAATGACCAAAATATCCTTCTAAACTAATCAAGTTAACGAAATAATTTGAATGGAGTTAGATTTAGGGACCCAATATGTCAGGTTTCAGTGAGAATGAAAGTTAAGGTGAGAAGTGAACAAGAGATCTCAACCCTTGGATGCATATTAGGATGAGATACACCAAATCAATTGCTCAAGATCTCTAAAAATTGATGGGTGATTTTTATATAAAAATTGATCAAGATTTCAGATCTCTTTTTACACTTCTTACTTTAACTTTTCTTTTCATCACACAATCATTTGCTAATCTATACTATATTATAAAACATTTGAGAAAAACTCTTAAAAACCATTTTTTATGCATAAAGTGTTGTTTATTGATGCATATTACTTAAAATTCAATATTACAATTAAATTGTGCATAAGCACAGCTTATTAAAAGCTCCATGTTTGAATCGTGTAATTAATTACGGATAAATATAATCAAATAGATGATAAACATCTCATTTAAAAATATAAAAAATCTAAAATATAATTAGGATAATTATTGAATTATGACAAAATAATTAACTATTATGTTTATAAAAAATTATATTATTAACCAAATATGAATTACTTCGTTATTTAACATAAATTAAATTATAATAAAAAATTGAATTAAAAATTACACAAAAAATAAGAAATTTTAAATAGTTAATCTAATACTAATATCGATATATTTTTATGATATCTTCAAATTTATATTTTATTCAAAAACAAAAACATTATCGCCTTTTTAAAATCACATAAGATCATATTATAAGATCGACTGAGATAAAAAAAATATTAAAATCAACATTTATATCGATGCATTGTACGAATACCCTTCTAGCATAATAATTCATAGATTTTCAAAATAATGACCGAAATGTGAAACGGTACACAACTTCAACATTAATCCATTCGGTTGAAGTTACATAAATACATCAATAACTTTATGGGGATACTTAAAATCTTTACTCGATACCAACACTCTTTTTTTAGGTAAAACTATAAATACTCGTAGTTAATACATGTTAGTGAATGGCTTAATGGCTATTTTTGTCATTTTTATTTTTATTATTAAATAATAAAAAAATCATAAACACAATTTTTGAAACAAAACTATACTTAGATATAAATATAAAATTACCAAAATCAGTTATATTTTGTTAACCATCGTGCTCATGGGTTGGGTTGATCGGATTGAAGACATTTGAACAACGCAACCCAATGCTTGCGGTTTGTAAAAATCTTAACTTAACCCAAACCAAAGTGCAACCCAACCCAACCCAAAACCATACGGGTAATCAAAATTTTTTTTTGTTAACCATAACTGCATAGGTCAGTTTGTACGTACTTCGAGTAATCAATTTTTTTTGTTTGAGAGGTTTTTATACAGGTCGAAAGAGCTTGTTTTTTTATTTTGGAAAAACTTGGTTTTCTGCATAAAGTTTTTCACTAAAAACTTAAGCTACTTTCTATATCAATAAGTCACTACCAAATAGTCATGTATAACTAATTAAGCTACTAACAAACATATCTTAAATTACATATTAATTTTAAAATTGATAAAATAGAGTAATAATTAAAATTAAATATATTTTTTTAAGTTTATTTTAATTTTAAAAATTGCAATATTATTATCAAAAAATATCTAATAACTAAATTATAACATCTGTAATGGTCATTAAGACAATTGATGGCTTAATTCCAACTTATCTTAAACCATAATTACATCCATATTTAAAGCATGTAAATTAAAAATAGAAAAAGAATATGAAAAATATTAATAGTTGCATTTAGTAACATTAAATTCCACACTGACATAATAAATATCATCCACCAAAATTTTGATAATCATATGTTTTAAAATTTATAATTTCATAACAATTAATATATAGGATTGTGTTTCAGTAATAACGAGAGTTAATGTGAGAAGCGTAAAAAATGATCTTTATCATTGGATGCATATTAAAATAAGATGCACCGGATCAATCATCGTATCAAACGCGTTTCATGGCTGAGTTTGAAATTAAAGGTGACAAGGGTACGCCTTAATATATACTAGAAGAGTACTTGTGCAATTCAGCGAGATGCATCTCGATTTTAATATTCTATTTTATTCTCTGTCTATGTCGATGTTATAATACGATTTTATGTGTTTTTAAAAAAACAATAATGATTTTATTTTTGAATAAAATACAAATTTGAAAATATCATAAAAATTTGAAAAAAAAAAATATATCAATGTTAATATCAAATCAACTATTTAAAAGTTCTCATTTTTAATTTATTTTT